GAAGGAGAGAGATAGAAACATCAATGAGAGAGAACATCGATTGCCCGCCTCCTGCATGCCCCCCACTGGGGATCGATTGGGCCCACAACCTGGTTTTCTTTTTGCTTTGTTTTCTATTTCATTGATTTCTTCTCTGATCTTTATTGTTCCCTGTCTTCCTTTTTTTAGTTTCTTAAGGTAGAAGCGCAGGTCATTGATTTGAGACTTTTTTCTAACATAGGTGTTCGGTGCTATTAATTTCTCTTTAAGAGCTTTTGTATGCATCCACACATTTTAACATACTTTGTTTTCACTCAGTTCAAAATACTTTTTGCTTTCCTTTTTGATTCATTTTTAAACACATATGTATTACTAATTTCCAAACATTGGAGATTTTTCAGATATCTTTTCATTGATTTCTAATTTAATCCCATTGTGTCTAGAGAATATACTGTGCATGATTTGAATCTTTTGAAATCTATTGAGACTTGTTTAATGACCACAAAAATAGTTAATCTTGGTAAATGTGCTTTGTGTACTTGGAAAGAATTGTATTCTGCTGTTGTTGGATAGAGTATTCTGTCAATTAGGTCAAGTTGGTTGATTGTGTTGTTTAAGTCCTCTGTGTCTATTTATCAATTATTAAGAAAGGGGTGCTGAAATATCCTACTGTAATCGAGAATCTACTTCCATTGATTCTATCGATTTTTGTTTTATGTATTTTGAACTCTGCGATTTAAAAAAACATTTTTTTTTCTTTATTGGTATTAGAGAGAGAGAGGAAGGCAGTGGGAGAGAGAGAGAGAAACATCGATGAGAGAGCATGGATTGGCCGACTCCTGCATGTCCCCTACTAAGCATGTGCCCTCACCAGGAATCAAACCGGCCACTTCTTGGTGCGTGGGTCGATACTCCACCACTGAGCCACACCGGCCGGGCTAACTCTGCTATTTTTTAATAGAATATGAGAAATATAGGGAAAGTTTGGGGCACTTAAGAACCCAAGTGGGAGGAAAAAAGAACCCAAGTTACACAAATTATGGACAGGTAAATAGTAGACCCCAGGATTATATTATACAGGAGTATAGGGAACATCAGCGCACATGCTAGCTCTAACTAGAGTGATTTATTTTTAGGTGTTGCAGCCCAGAGATTAATTGCTCCATCTAGGTTATGGTATCTACTTTAATCAAAGTCTAGTGCAGTCAGGATAAAGAATCGAGTTATCGCCCTGGCCGGTTTGGCTCAGCGGTTGGAGCGTCGGCCTGAGGTACAGAGAGACCCGGGTTCGGTTCCCGCTAAGGGCACGTACTCGGTTGCAGTTTGTCCCCGGCCCTGGTTGGTCGTGCGGGTGACAGCCACTTGATGTGTCCCTTCACGTCGATGTTTCTCTCTCTCTCTCTTCCTCTCTCTCCCTCCCGCTCTATCTGAACAAAAAATGGAAAAATGTCCTCGGGTGAGGATAAAAAAAAAAAAAGAATCGAGTTATCAAATAGCCCTGGATGGTGTGGCTCAGTTGGTTGGGTGTCATCTGTGCACCGAAAGGTTGAGGGTTCGATTCCTGGTCAGGGCAAATGCCTGGGTTGTGGGCTCGATCCCCAGTAGAGGGGCATGCAAGAGGCAGCTGATGGATGTTCCTCTCTCGCCCTGTCCCTTCCTCTCTCTGTAAAAATCAATTAAAAAAAAAAAACTTGCTCCTTAAAAAAAAAGTTATCAAACATTAGGTTGAATTATATGAAACTGTTGACATTAGCCTTTGACTTACAAAAATGGTAACTTCTGACAAAGCAAGGATATTTGTTCATTATAATCTTGTTTAGAGAAGTGAAACATTGGGAGCTGTCTAGATGTTTTTCATCATAGCGTTGTTCAGAACAGTGAAAAAAATCTAAATGTCAAACAATAAATCATGCCACATCCATACTGTGGAATTAAATTGGTTTTGGGAGATTATTTAATAACGCTTTCCCTTTGTGTCCTCATCCAGTTTTATGACAATAAATCCCATCTATAAATGCTGGCAATACCCTGGCCAGTTTTGCTCAGCGGTTAGAGCATTGGCCCGTGGACCAGAGAGTCCCGGGTTCGGTTCCCGCTATGGGCGCCTACTTCGGTTGCAGTTTGTCCCCGCCCTGGTTGGGCTCATGTGGGTGGCAACCACTCGATGTGTCTCTCTCACATCGATGTTTCTCTCTCTCTCTCCCCCCCCCCCTTCTCTTCTGCTGTATCTGAAATGCAAAAATCTCCTCTGGTGAGAATAAAAAAAAAATTTATAAATGTTGGCAACTCCCAAATTTATATCTGAAGTCCAAATTTGTATCTGAAGTCCAATTGCTCACAAAATCCAGATTCAGACATTCAATTTCCTGTTTGCTATTTCTCCTTGGATATCTAATCAATATACAAAATTTAACGTATCCTAACCTGAACTCCAGATCTATCTAAAAAGCCTGTTCTCCCATACCCTTACTCCTCAGTTAATGGAAGTTCTAGCTTCAGCTATCTAGTTGTTCAAGTCAAAACCCTTGGAGTCATTCTTGATTCTCCTTCATTTGTCCCTCACCTTCAATCCATCAGGAAATCTCTGGCTTTGGCTTCAAAATATACCCAGAACCCAACACCTTTCACCACATTTATTGCTATCACTGTGGTCCTCTTTCCCTGATTGCAAAAGCCTCCTAATCTAATTAACTTATTTTTTAAAATTTTATTTTTATAACGTTGAGCATTTTATTTATTTTTTTATCCTCACCCAAGGACATTTTTCCATTTTTTTGTTCAGATAGAGTGGGAGGGAGAGAGAGGAAGAGAGAGAGAGAGAAACATCGACGTGAAAGGGACACATCGAGTGGCTGCCTCCCGCACAACCCTACCAGGGCCGGGGACAAACTGCAACTGAAGTACATGCCCTTAGTGAGAACCAAACCTGGGTCTCTCTGGACTACAAGCCGACACTCTAACTGCTGAGCCAAACTGGCCAGGGCTATAGTCAGTCTTTTAAAGTCAGTATTTAAAAAGGATTGATGAAAACTATAGGTGTGGACCAAGTTCAATGAATATGGCAGATGATGTCTGCTCTGAACCACTGCCTGGAGGAGGGTTTCTTCTCTTGGTTCGCTCTGCTCCCCTCTGCGGGTTCCTGCAACGTGCAGCGTCAGCTCTTCTGCTACTCAGCAGCTGACCTCATGCGGTACCCCTCTGGATGGCTCTGCAGTGGGTTTCACTGCTTTAATAAGCACCTCTCCATGGACATCTTCCCTGGCACTCCTCCAGTAGGTTCCCAGCAAGTTCTGGGGTATGGCACCTCCCTGGGATGCTTCTCTAGCACCCGAGGGCAGATTCTCAACAGGTGCCAGTTGGGCAGCATGGCCCTGACTTCTTTGCCATCCAGTGGGCAATGGTTGTAACTGCTTTAATAAAGCTGGCGCTCAGCCTGAGGGGGAGGGAACTCTTTGGTCTTGCCTCAGTCCTAGGGTCAATAGCTGCTCCCTGTATATATTGTCCTTGTATTCTTTGGTGTTCTTTTTATCATTTATTAGCAAATCCTCCATTATTCCAATCTCTTGTTACAGTTTGTGATGGTTAATTTTGTCAATGTGTCTGGGCCATCGTGACCAGGTATTTGGTCAAATATTATTCTGGATGTTTCTGTACAGGACTTTTGTTTTTGTTTTTTTAATTAGGCTAACATTTACATTGGTGGACTTCGAGTAAAAGAGATTACCCTCCATACTGTGGGTGGGCCCCATCCAATCAGTTGAAGGCCGTAATAAAAGACTGAGCTCCTCTGAGGAACAGGAAATTCTACCAGCAGACTGCCTTTGGACTTGAATTACATCTCTTCCCTGGGTCTCCAACCTGCCTACCATGTAGATTTTGGACTACTAAGCCTCCACAATTGTTTGAGCCAATTCCTTAAAACTAATCTCTATATATTTATATACATAGCCTATTGGTTCTGTTTCTCTGGAGAACTCTGATACACAGTTACTTAATTACATTAGAGTACTCCTGTTCATAATGCTTTGATCTCCCTGTCTTGATTGAACCCTGACAAGTACACTATTGGTCTCCTCTGAACTCCCAATCCATATGTACAACTGCCTACTCAGTATCTCTACTTGGATGTATAACAGGCATTCCAAATTTATGTCCAAAAGCTCTTGATGTTCCTCCTGCACACTTATTTCTCCTACACATTTTCCAGTCTCAGTTAAAGGCAACTTCAGTTTTAGTGAGACTTCCCCTAACACACTTACAATTACAGTCCAGCTCTAAGCAGCCCCAACCATACCCGCAATCCCTCCTTTGCTTGTTATAGTATCTATTATATGTATATTATTTATCATGTTCATTGTGCAACTCCTTCATTGGAGTATAAATTCCACGAGAACAGGTATTTGGTGTATTTGTATGGTTTAAACTGTGGTATACCAATAATCTAAAGCAATGCTTAACACATAGTGGATAATCAATGAACCTTTGCCTTCTATATTCACTATGGACTATAATGCTAGTTATTTTTTAGTGTCTTGAGAAACCCTTCACTTTCCCAAGTTTATAAATACATTTTATACTTATTCATAAAAATTTTACTTTGCCTTTTAAATTTAGGTTAAACCACTAGGGATGGATTTTTCTGTGACATGAGGTAGGGTTCCATACATATGTATTTAGCTCTTCTGGATAACCAGCTGCCCAGTAGGCTATGTTTTTACTACGTAATGGTCTTGGTTTTATCTCTCTACTTTCTGAATTCACTTGCTCTCTTAAATAGTCAGTATTAAGATTCTATAATAATTAAGCAAAATATAGTATCAATCCCACAGTTTTATTTGTAAAGAACAATGCATGAAAAGTCATATTTGAATGTACTCCAAAACCTGAAAAAACCCACGTCAGTTTCTCTGATATGTATGCTAAAGTGCTCAATATCACAATACTCAAATTTTATATTATGTTCAGATGAGAAAAAAAAAAATCCAGTTCTGATGCATTTTGTTAACAATACAAAGAAAAACAATATAATTTAAATGCAGATATGCTCATTTGTTAAAAAGATACACAGGGTACATTTATACATGGTTCAAGTGTAACATAGAAGATTTTTTCTGTATGTTGAACACCTTCAGCTGATTGACAACAGGGACTCCTTACCACGCCTCTCTGTCAAGAAGATTTGGTGTTTGGAACAAAGCCTGAAGCTATACATAATACATCTAGGTAATTGAATCAAGTATTATTCCCTCCCACAGAACCCGAGGATACCCTTGATTCCTTCAAATGAGAATTTTTTTTCAAAGGAGGAGAAATCTTTGATGATCTTTTTCGCTCGGTACTAATTGCTCAATGTTCTGGAGCCAATCTTTATTTTGTCTTTGAAAGGGCGATCAATTTTAGTGAGATCTGAAAGGATGAGGTTCTCCTTGGATTCTTTTGATCACACTCCATCAACACCTTCTTCAGAAAAGCCTGGAAATCAGTTCAAGAGATTTATAAATGTATTTTGATAGGAATAAGGGACCTAATAGTTTATTATTTGTTTCTGTCTTCTTTTAAGCTAAATGGTAATGTCATAAATGTTTACATAAGAAATGGGGACTTCAAAAGACATAGATGGCTTGGAAACAGGATTCACTTTATAAAAGCAGAGAGGAGCTGAAGACCCCATTCTTGATCAATGAAGGTGTGTTAATACTGAAATATAAATAGCGAAGGATCAGACTGTCCTTTCAACACGGTGAAAAGGATCACCTAGTTTCTGTAAACCTCACAGTGAAAATACTCACAGTTCTCAAAATAAAAGTCTTCTGAAAAATCCTAAGTCTCAGCAGAAAGGTATCTCATTATTAAGAGCTACACTCTCAGTGCTGTCAAATAAATATTTCCCTGGGGGGTCTGAGGTCCTCATCTGTAGCCTCATGTTTCAAAATATCTTAGAGGTGTCAACATATACTACACACAAACTGTTACATATAGTCTCTACCTCTCTTTCACGTACATCTACATACAACAGATTTATTGCCAAAAAAGGAAATAGAAGCAATTCAGTGTTTCCCCTATATCATTCATGTAGCGAGACAGAAGCTCATTAAAATGAAAAGCCATGTTAAAGTAAATACCACAGATTTAAAAAGGTACAAACATCTCTGAGACATTTAAAATAAAATTTAGAGGGAAATGACAAACTTTTGCAAGTTTTAGGTTATTTATATAGAATTCTCACCCCAGTGGGAAAAAGGATGGGGAGAGCTAGGAGGTCCTACTTTTTTCTTGGTAGCTTTTCTCCACCACCTAGAACCCTCTTTGTACTGCTGGACTCTGTGCCTCAGTCATTTTAAGGTGCTAACGAGCCCCCCCAGGGCACAGCTGCAGGGCCTCATATACTACCAACATCAGTGTAATGCTACTGGGTCACACAGGGTGAGATGGGGAGTTTCAGGACACTTGAAAAAAATGTTTCAAGAGGTAATATTTTTGGTAATTTAATCTTAAAACAATTTCTTTTAAAGCCATTATTATGCAAAAATACTAATTAGGGTTCCAGGCATTAATTTTAATTTATTTTGAGGGGAAAAATGTCAATGACAAAAATTGATTTTTATTTACTTTTACTCTGAGGTGTGATTATAAAGCAATATACTAATTTAAAAAATAAACATAACAGAAGGGATACCTCTGAATAGATATATATGGTCCTTCCAAAAGTCAACTTGGAAGGCTATGCACATCTATTCTGAGGATTCTGCTCCTCTCTTGCTCAAAATAATTTGGTATTGGCTCAGAGAGAGCTGTAAGTCACATAAGAACGAAATCTTATTTCCTTAGAATTATGTTTCTTATGTACTCAAACTCTGCTCGGGCATCCTTTTTATTCATCAACTATGGGCTGTAGGCCGTTATCACTGGGGTGAGATAAACAGATAAAAGGGCTGCCAAGGTGGCACTCTGAAGGGCCTAGCATTGTAGAAGGCGTGCCTCTCCTGAAATCGGGCGTTTCACCGTTACAGTCTTACCACACAACATGAGACAACATTTTCGGTATAACTCTTTTTGGGCATTACCTTTTGAAGTAATGGTTTTAGTCACAGACCCAAATCCAATTTTCTCCCTGTTTTTATAGCAACTTGTGAACAATTTGTTAAAATGAATATTAATCCTCGTGACTATTGCCATGAGTCCTGATTTCTCATCTGTATAGGGGAATGCATGAAGAACCAAGGGGGAAGACTGTTGAGATGAACGCCCTGGAGGTCAGCCTCATGCAGCCTGCTGTACTAAACGCTGAATTCTAGACCCTGTGCTGTCGCCCACCAGCTGTGGGAGTATGTAATCTCTCTAATCCTCAAGTGTTCCCATCTATAAAATGAGAAGGCTGGACCAGATAACTCAATCTGCACGAAGTCGGCTCCCTGGCTGCCCAGGGTGCGTCAGAAGCATGGCCTCGTGGAAAAGGTACGAGAATAAGTCCCTGGGCTGGACCAGCCTCTGGTTTCTGATCACGGAAGCACACGACAGCCTGGTGTCACGCAGGTGGAGGACATCTCCCACTGAAGAGTGTCCACAGCCCTGAGTAGCTACACGTTAGCCTCAGGCAAACAAACCTCTGGTCCCCAAGTCACCCAGAATAATCTTCTTAAACCCTTTCCAGGGGTTGCTAAATCCCCGCCCCCAACTAAGCCACCTATCAAAGCGGGGCGTGCCTCGGCTGCCTGGCAAGGGGGACAACACCACTGGCTAAAGCCCAGGACTCTCGGTGGCACGAGGGTCCTGAGAGGCTGTGGCTCTGCATCTCAGCCCCAACCGGGAATAAACCCAGAGCTCCGCTGAGCAAGTCACTGCTAACGCTGTGCAAATGCCGATGAGAGTCACAGGCCCTACCCTGGGATGAAGACGTAAGGTGACTAGTTAACACCGTTTACTTAACTTCCTGATAAGAAGCCAAACTGTAGTTACTCACAACATTTGGTCTTTCCAAACTGCTGCCTTGTTCTACTTGCATTTTGCTCGTCTGGGAGGTGCTGGCCTTTACCTTCTCTGGGCCAGTTGTTCTGCGTTACCACCCCTTTTCACAAAGGAACACAAAGCTTGCCCTGAAACACCCAGAAAGGGTTCATTCTTTCTCTCTCCTTCTGTTATTTGCATTATCTTGGTCAACAAATACTTTCACAAAAACATTCCAAGCCACACAGAGCCCTCCTCCTTCTCAGACATTCCTTCCATTTCCTGAGAGGGGGCTGGGCACTGGGCGAGGGGAGGGGGTGCTGGGAGCCAAACAAAGACAGGGCTTATGGTGATCCTTCCGAGGTAAGGGCCCACTGCAGGGTTCAGAGGGCCACATAAAAAGCACAGAATCAAACTGCTGTTTGCAGTTGTTGTGACTGTGACATCTGCCCAAAGTACATCAAATAACAAGAATAAAAATGCCAAGAATGAAGTTAGTCTAGGCTAATCTTTCCAAAGAGCAAAGAAGTTATAATCCCACATTTAACACACTTCTGGGGCTTTGTGTGCTCTCTTCCCAGTTAAGCCAAGCTCCTGGGGTTCAGAATTTAAAGTATTTGAATTATATCTTCATCTTGTGCCGACAAAAAAAAACTTTCCAAAAGAATGGAAAAGTGACTCAATTCATATGTATGAAACCATTTGCAACTTAAAAGATACAAGTTCGGTGCCCTTTACAGTAGATAGAGCTGTTTCCATTCAAAGTACAAAGGGTCGGACACCAGGACTGCCGGACGCTAGGACACACCAATGCATTCTGGGCTTCTCTGTGACACCTGGAGGAAAAAGCCCAACTGGGTCCACTATATTCACCTGTTACTGGCTTCTTCCTGACTAGCACCACTCTCCCCCCAACTCCCAACACTTTCAGGCTACTTATTTTAAATCACAGGAATATTCAATCTAAGAAAAGTATCTTATTAGAGTAATATAATTTCTTAAAGAAGATAGCATATTTACACACATCTAACACATGAAAATATTCTATTTTATACTAAATTCCTGGTTCAAATGAACTACAATACAGCATTTTGCCTTGTCTGTAGCGTGAGGATTGTCCACATCAGGGCACACAGTGTTTCACCCCTGCAGTGACTCACTACTCTGCCAGACAAGTCCAAATCGATCCCGCAGACGGGAAGGTTGGGAGCAAGGGGTCTGGACTGAGAGTTCCCAGCCAAGTGGGTTACACATCCACTCCTTTGATGAGAGACCCTTCTAAGACGATGGTGAAGTCCTGAATGGTCTGCAGAATTCGGATGAGGGAGTTGACGGTCATGCGGTCCCGCAGGAGGGCACTCTCTTCATACATTCGGGTAATGGCAGGACACTCGGCTAACAATGGAATCCACTGTGGAAGCAGGCGATCCCTGCAAGCCCAAACAGAAACAAGCCCTGAGCCGGATGACCCCGAGCAGAACAAGGCACACACTGGGGCTTTCAATGGGAAGGTGTGTGGCTGGATGAGGTGAAATTTAGCCAAGCTCTGAGGTCAGCAGAGAGGCAACCAAAGTCGAGGAGCTGGTTACTTACTGGTGAAAAGACACAGTAATGAGAAAGTATAAGCTGACGGGAAAACCCATCAGATTCTAAAAGCTGGCCATGCAAATCAGCCAAGAGGATTTCCGTACTGAGGGAATTCTCTATTCTGATTTTAGCACTTTTAAAAAGAGGCAAAATGTAGTTTTGTATTTCTTTTTTATAGGGGTGTTACTTAGACATCTGTGGCAAGGCATGCCAAAGTATATTGACCTTTTGGGAAGAAAGACTACATTAAATAGTAGGGATTAGCTTTTTGTTTTTTAACTTATACAACACAACAAAGTAAAGGACAAAATCAAAGCAGAACATTAAGTAAATTTTATAAACCAAAAGAGGGGTTGCATTGGCCTAATAAATCAGAACAGTAAAGAGATAAAAGGAGAGAAGGATCGTGTTCAAAAGGAACTTTAAAAGCACAGCTGAAATTGGGCCCCTTTGTTAAGAAGAAATTCAGAACTTAGTTTTATAAACCAGTTGTTTTAGGAGGACGAAATCTCAGGCTTCAGTGTTTCCTGATTAAACTCGACATTCATCATCTGTCACTAAGTATCTAAGACATCCTCACTGAGCACCTCTCAGTATGCCTTTCATGACAGGGACAGCTGCAACCGGCCCATCCTGCATCTCTCCCTCAGGGCTCTAGGAGTTTAGAAGAAAACAAACATTGCACACAAAAACCTCTAAAGGTCCATGTGTTTCATTTCTTATAATTCTGAGAGCTCTTTTAAAAGTAATAAATTAGCCCAGCTGGTGTGGCTTAGCGGTAGAGCATCGGCCCATACACCAAGATATCTCCAGTCGATTCCTGGTCAGGACACACACCCAGGTTTGGGGCTCAATCCCCAGCAGGGGGTCTGCAGGAGGCAGCCAATCAATGTTTCTACCTCACTGATGTTTGTCTCTCAAAAAAAAAAAAAAATCAAGTAAAAACATTGAAAAAAAAGGTGTTATAGTCTTTAAAAAGTTAAATTAATGAATTATATAGCTCATATGCATAATTTTCAATAAATAAAGAGATAGGAAATTGTCTTAAAGAGAAGACTATACAGTAAGAATTCCGCGATGTTATTAAATGTGACACGGCGATGTATATATTATACAAGCCCTACGTAGTAAATATATATGTGTGTACGTGTTGGTGTATCTATCTACCAACCTATCTGTTACCTATCTACCCATCTCTGAAACCAGTGGAGTGTAATGGTTGACAGCCTGGGCTCTGGAGTGAGACTGGGTGTGAATCTTGGCTTCACCTCTTTCTAGCTGTGTGACCTTGGGAAAATCTTGACTTATCTGTGCTTCATCTAGTTTCTATTTTGTCATCCATTCAATGGGGGTACTGGCTGCTACTTCAAATACTGGTGGTGGTGAACAACAGGAGGATTCAATGAGATAATGTATGTAAAGTATACCTGGCATAGTGCTTTATCCCACACGTAGCCAGTACCCAATAAACTGTAGTCTCATAGTGAAACCTAGAGTGAAAGAAACCCACGGGAGAGCTTTGGAAGGGGTATGATCTGGTCCAAACCTTTCTGGACCCGTGTTCAACATGTGAGAAAGACAGGGAAAGTCAAGAACTGGCTCTATACCGTGTTCCGAGGCAAACTAAGATCTGGAATTTGCCGTCCTTCCCAATGTTCCTGGGGGCAGTATTAACAGCATTCACATAGTGGCAGAAGGTTTTGCAGGATGATTTCTGAATAAGGACATCATCTTCATTGTCTAGAATCTGGTCAGTAGTTTCAAAATAAGCAACAGCTCTCTCTGGGGAATGAAGTCAGAATCACATCACAATACACATCAATACTTCATAACAGAAAGATTAATCACTAGGTTTATTCTGGAAACACTAACAATGCTTTGCACTGTGGCCAGTCCTGAAACCAAAATCATTACTTTACCGTTGGTTTCACAATCAATTCTAGAGTCCATGATTCATGGTGGAATAATATGCCCCCTGAGGTTTATTTTCTAATCTAGACTGCATTCTAGAAGGCTGGGAAAAATTTACTTTCTTTAGAATAGTTTTATGAAATGGAAATTGGCAAAAAGAAGAAGAATAAAAAGACTCCTATGTTAAGACGAGAACATTCTAGGAGTAAGTAGCAAAGACATGGTAGCCCCAGAGTGGTGGCCCCTGTCTAGCTACAGAACAGTAGGCTAACACTTTGCAACACGGTTTTGAAATGGAACTGAATCAGTAAATCTGAGCTAGAGGTATGTGTACATGTATGAAAAGCAGGAGCAACATTCTAGAAGGAGAAAATATCACTCCTGGAGGCCTAATCTGTCAACTTTCCATTCTTTATCCAAAAATTCTAAATTAGATGAGATCAATGACTTCATCTAGGCCTTATTTACAAATGCAAATGATTCATCATCCCTTTAAAGAAACAGAATTCTAGAAGAAGTGCATACCAAAGTAATAATGACAAAGTTTAGCAAGCTAGAGCAGCACACTCTTATGGAACTTTCTGTGATGATGAAAATGTTCTCTATCTGTAAGGTCTGACTGGTAGCTACAGTAGGGCTGGGGGACTAAGGAAGTGAATTCTAAATTTAAATGGCCACCTGTGGCTAGTGGTTACCACACTGCACAGCATAGAGCCAGAGTCATCCTTCTAAACATGTCCCTCCTTATATACAAACCTTCCAAATAACTTCTCATGTCATTCAGGATAAAGACCAAAGTCCTTCCTGGAAGGCCCCACACGACCTGTCTCTTGCAGTGAATACCCCTCTCCCCCAATATCCTTTTCTCCCCCCGTCACTCCACTCAGTTCCACTGATCTTGCTATTCCATGGGAAGGCCAGGTGTACCCCTACTTTGGGGCATCTGCCCTGGCCCTTCTCTCAGCCTGAGTGTCCTCCTCCCAGATACCCACTCAGCTCACTTCCTCAAAGTCTTTGTTCAAATGTCACCTTGTCAACAAAGCCTATAACCACCCCCGTTTAAAAGAGCACTCTCTCACCCTGGCCGGTTTGGCTCAGCGGTTAGAGCATCGGCCTGTGGTCCGGAGAGACCCGGGTTCGGTTCCCGCTAAGGGCACGTACCTCGGTTGCAGTTTGTCCCCAGTCCTGGTTGGTCGTGCGGGTGGCAGCCACTTGATGTGTCTCTTTCACGTCAATGTTTCTCTCTCTCTCTCTCTTCCTCTCTCTCCCTCCCATTCTATCTGTGCAAAAAATGGAAAAAATGTCCTCGGGTGAGGATAAAAAAAAAATAAATAAATAAAAAATAAAAAAAAATAAAAGAGCACTCTCATCCAGCCACGGTGGCTCAGCGGACTGAGCGGCAGTCCCATAGACTGAGAGGCCCTGGTTCGACTCCTGGTTGGGGCACATGCCCGGGTGGTGGGTTCAATCCTCAGTGGGGGGTGTGTAGGAGGCAGCTGATCAATGTTTCTATCTCTCTCTCCCTTCCTCTTTCTCTAAAAAAACCCAATAAAAACATACTAAAAAAGAGCCCTGGCCGGTTTGGCTCAGCGGTTAGAGCGCCCGCCTGCGGTCCGGAGAGACCCGGGTTCGGTTCCCGCTAAGGGCATGTACCTTGGTTGCAGTTTGTCCCCGGCCCTGGTTGGTCGTGCGGGTGGCAGCCACTCGATGTGTCCCTTTCACATCGATGTTTCTCTCTCTCTCTCTTCCTCTCTCTCCCTCCCACTCTGTCTGGAAAAATGTCCTTGGGTGAGGATAAAAAAAAAAAAAACATACTAAAAAAGAAATAAAAGAGCACTTGCCACTCCACTTCCTCTTACCTTGTTCTATTTTTCCCAGAGCAATGATCACCTTCTAACACACTAGATGAATTGTGTATTTGTTATGTTTTGTGTATTACTTAAATGTAAGTTTATCAACCACAGGAATTTTTATGTCTTGTTAGTTGTATCTTGATGTATATCTTGAGCATCTAGAAACTTTAGTGTTTGGAATATGGTGGACACTATAAATATCTACTGACTGAATGAAAAGCAAGGACAGTGATTATTTGATATAAATAAAATTTTAAAACATACTCCCTTATCATTAACCCTTATTTCCCAATTCCTGGATCTCTAAGTTTTCTAAGAAGCACTTCAGTGACCTTATACTAACATCCACCTGCTTCAATTTACCTATGAAGTCCCAGATGAAGACGTTCTTGTGGAAGATGCGGGAAGATCTGAACCCGTGGTGGAAAACTTGTTCAAGTGCTGCAACCAGGCCATTTTCTCCACACAGCAACACCGTGAGGCTCCCTCTCTGCGGAACAACACACAGTGCCAAGTGATACCCGACTGTGACTGTGCTTCAGAAACACACGGAGAAGCGAGCGTTGCGGCAGCGGGGAGGCCTGTCTCCGCAGCTCAGAAAGCTGACAGACGGAAACTAACGCGCCCTCCCTGTGCTGCCTGATGTACCGTGCACAAAGGTGGCCTTAAAACCTACCACTCCGAGTTTTATAGCTCATCATACCTCTTTTTCAGGTTTGTGAAAATGTTTCACAATGTTGTTCACAGCTTCTCCAATTCCTTCTTGGATCTGTCCAGCACTGGGTTCTGAAAAATAATAAACAGTGGCTGAATTCTCATGCAAGGGCAATAAAACAAAGCCCTGTGGGACATCTACAATGTCCACCTATACAGGAAACACTTCCGCAGCACAGGCGGCGCTGCCAGGGGCCCCACGACACCTGCCCGAGGCCAGCATGGCCAAGTGAGAGGCATCTTGGCAGAATGGAAAAGAATCCGAGAGACCCCTAGATTCAAATCCCACCCTTAACACATGTAATTTATAACCTTGGTCAAATGTCTAACCTTGATCAGATGTCTGAGTTTGAGTTTCCTTAATCTGAAAGAGGAAAAATACACAAAATACAAACCTCCTACACAGGTCACAGAAACGGAATGGGATTAGGTGGAAATCCCCTGGCATGGTGCCTGCCAAGGGGGCTAGCGAGTCACCAGATCTGAGAGTGACAGGGGGGACCCACAGCTTCATTACTCAGAACCCACCCCTCTATCCTACCTACCCCACGTTCCTTGGTGGGTACAGACCGAGGCTTCTGAATTTCTTATGGCTAACCTGGAATCTGTGTTTTTGTTGTTGTGTTTAAAGTAGAGGGGAGACGCCAGGGGCACCCACACTGGGGCACCTTGCCTGAAGCCCAGAACTCCTTCCCTTCCAGGCTAGTCATTTTCGCTGGGCTCTACTTCATCCCCAGCCAGCACCTGCTCTCCTGGGCCCGAGGGAGAGCTTGGTGGGTTGCTTGGATGGGATCTAAACTGCCTTTGCCTCTCAAACCCCAAAAATAGAAGAAAAAAAAAAAGGTGGTGAACAGGTTTCATCCAGGGATAGAAATCGGTAACAAGAACGATGTAGTTGGTATTTTCTTGTGGTGATTAGCTACTATGTCTATTTTACATATCACACTATAAAGGACAAACTTTAAATTCTAGTTTTTTAAGAATCTCTAAATTCACTTTTTAGGTAAAACTCAAGTAAGTTTTTTCCTACACCAATACAGAAAAATTGTTAAAATGGAAACTTGTTATGATTGGAGCATGAATACTGTGGCTTCTTCAGCTTTTAGTATTTTTTTTTTTTACCTTTACCATTCTCTGAACATTTTTTCTTTTAAACATTTTATTTTGAAAGCCTTTATTCATTCCAAAAGAGCCCTGTACAGGCCAGCAGTATACAGAAACTGATCAAAAACTCTGAGTTTTCTAAACATCACCTTGCATACATGGTGAGTAAATGCTAAGGTCTCCATCTCTGGGATTCAGGTTGTTTAAAACTTCATACTTATTGAGTAAGGAAAAAATATATCACCAAAAGTGGGGGATAAGGCTTCTCAAAACAGTACTACCCTACGAAACTGAACTGATCCAGAAGTTGTAATAATTTTTTTTTTAAATCCTCACCCGAGGTCATTTTTCCATTTTTTGTTCAGATAGAGTGGGGAGGGAGAGAGAGAGAAACACTGATGTGAAAGGGACACATCAAGTGGTTGCCACCCGCACGACCCAACCAGGGCCAGGGAGGGACAAACTGTAACCGAGGTATGTGCCCTTTGCGGGAAACGAACCCGGGCCTCCCTGGACCACAGGCCGACGCTCTACCGCTGAGCCAAACCAGCCAGGGCTAGAAGTTGTAATAATTTCTTTTCTTTTTTTTTTTTGCATGTGCCCCTAGTGGGAACTGAGCCCAGGACTCTCTGATCCGCAGGCCAACGCTTCAACCGCTGAGCCAAACTGGTCAGGGAAAGAAGTTGTAATAATTTCTTTTTTTTTTTATCCTCACCCGAGGATATTTTTCTATTTTTTGTACAGATAGAGTGGGAGGGAGAGAGAGGAAGGGAGAGAGAGAGAGAGAGAAACATCGACGTGAAGGGACACATCGAGTGGCTGCCACCCGCACGACCAACCAGGGCCGGGGACAAACTGCAACCGAGGTACGTGCCCTTAGCGGGAACTGAACCCGGGTCTCTCCGGACCGCAGGCCGACGCTCTAACCGCTGAGCCAAACTGGCCAGGGCAGAAGTTGTAATAATTTCAATGGACTAGGGTGAAATCTATCTTTAAATTTTAAATCAGCATAATTAAGGTATTACATTCAATATATTCAGCAATTTTAAGTGTGTAATTTGGTGAGCTCTGACAGATGTATAGTCATGTAACCACCACCACCGTCATAATATAAAAAATTTTCACCAACCCAAAAAGTTCCCATGTGCTCCCATTCAGTCAATCCTGTTCCCCAGCCTTCAATCCCTGGGAACTGCCGATCTGCCTTCTATCATTATTATATTGCCTTTTCTAGAATGTAATAGAAATGGAATCATATAGTACCTAGTCCTCTGTATCTGGTTTCTTTCTTTTTTTTTCTCTCATCCTCACCCGAGGATATTCTTCCATTTTTTGTACAGATAGAGTGGGAGGGAGAGAGAGGAAGAGAGAGAGAGGGAAACATCAATGTGAAAGGGACACATCGAGTGGCTGCCACCCGCACGACCAACCAGGGCCGGGGACAAACTGCAACCGAGGTACGTGCCCTTAGCGGGAACCGAACCTGGGTCTCTCCGGACCGCAGGTGGACACTCCAACCGCTGAGCCAAACCGTCCAGGGCTGTATCTGGTTTCTTTCACTCAGCACAATGTTTTGGAGATTCATCCATGCTGTTAAATGTATCAATAGTTTGTTCACTTTTATCTATTGCTGAAAAGTATCCCCTTGAGTTGATATAATACAGTTTGCTTATCCATTAACTAACTGTGGATACTGGGGTTACAAGTCTTAGTGTAGATATATGTATTCATTTTTAAATTCCTACGAGTGGAATTTGTATGTATAACTTTATATGAAACTGCCAAACTGTTCTTCCTTCTACATTCCATTGCTCTCCATCCTTAGCTACATTTGCTATTATCAGTCTTTTATTTTTATTTATTTGTTTTATATATGTCTTTATTGACTTTTTTAGAAGAGGAAGGGAGGGGGGGGAGAGATAGAAACATCGATGAGAGAGGAACATCAATTGGCTTCCTTCTGCATACCCCCTACTGGGAATCGAGCCCACAACTTGGGCCTGTGCCCTGATCAGCAATCGAACCTGTGACCTTCTGGTCCATGGGTTGATGCTCAACCACTGAGCCACACTGGCTGGGCACTATTACCAGTCTTTTAAATTTTATCTATTCTGGTGGGTGTGTGGTGTAAATTTTATTTCTGACTACAGAAAGGATTTATGAATTAGGGGAGTAATTTAATAATGAATAAGGGGGAACTTTAGATAACACCATTCTAATAATGAAATATCACCATCTGTTAACAAATGGATTGGGACTAATACTATCTAAGGAAACTACTTTCTTAATAAACTAAGCACCTTTTAAGTACTTTTGTTATTCTACTTATGGTTATTGTCTATAGCTAAAATAAAACCACTTCACTGATACACTTTGGTAATTTTTCACTAAATCATACGGCCTCTGCATTAGTTTTCCGTGGCTCCTGTGATAGATGACCACAACCTTGTTGGCTCAAAACAGAAGAAATTTATTCTCTCATAGTTTTGGAGGCCAGAAGTGAGAAGTCAGTATCACAGAGCAGAAAGCAAGGTGTGCATCGGCTGCGTTCCCGTCAGAGGCTCTGTGGTAGAATATGCCCCTTCAAGCTGCCGGTGGCTGCCGGCATTCCGAGGCTTGTGGCTGCATCTCTCCAATTTCTGCTTCTATCTGCACACTGTCTTCTCTGTGTGTGCCTGATCACCCTCTGCCTCCCGCTGATAAGGATACACGCAGTAGCATTTGGGGCCCACCTGGATAATCCAGAATAGTCTCTCATCTCAAAATTCTTAACCATATATTTCTCCAAATAAAGTAACATTTACAGATTCTAGGGATTACAATCTGATATCCAGGGAGACATTATTCAGCCTACTAAAGCCCACATTAGTATTAATCAGAAGTTTACTGTACTAGTGAAAATGGCCTGTGAACACAGTATCCTGCCAATAGAACTCACTCCTGTAGTGTCTTGTTTCATCACTTCTATACGGAGCTAGTGGGCGGGACCGACTTTAGACTCTCTTAGAAGAAGGGGCTCTAGATAGCTGAGTGTGGCCATCTGGGAGTACTGTAACTTAAAACTGTCCTTACTCCTCTCTTAGGTTTCAGGCCAAATATTATTTATTCATATGGCCACAGCTTAATTGAAACAGATCATGCATTTTTATTGAATTTTTAACAACTAAATTCTTCAGGCTTTTAATAATTTGTAATGTCTTGCCTTGTTTTTTTTTCTCCTTTTCTTCTCTTTCCCATCTTAAGTCCTTCTCCCAAATTAACTGTCCTCAGTTTTCTTCTTTTTAATTTCCCTGCCACAATTCATTAATGCGACAGCTTTCTGTGAAATGGCCACGTGATGCTGCAACATCTCAGACACACTGAAGAATAAAAAGTCAACTTACTGGTGGCTTTTCCGGTGAGTGACGTGATGCTCAGCCTCCTGGCCGTGGTGGGCGACCTCTGCTGGGGGGGCGTCCGGCATTGCTTCACCAGGTCCTCGTCCGCTGCGGGCGCCATCAGCTCTCCAATGAGAATTCTCTCCAGGCTCCCGTCATCAATGCCTTTCCCCAGCCATCGCCCACACGGGAACCTAGGGGGACACAAACAAAAGCAACCTACCTTCTGAACCACTGACATTTTACTAGTTTTAATCAGAATTTAAAAAACAGCACCTTGAGTTAAGTCCATTTTTTTAATGCCTGTGCACTGTATTTTTAATTGTGAAAAATTTCAAACATAAAAAAGTCGAGAGAATACTATAATAGACATCCGTATTCTTATCACCTAGACTTAACATTGTGCTATATGCTTCATTTTCTGTTGAAGCATTTAAAAGTAAATTACATACACTGGGACATTTCACCCCTAACAACACTTCAGTATACTCTAAATAATAAAGTATGCTCTCTTATATAGCCATAGATTGTTATCACACCCAATCAAATTAAAATAATTCTTTAATATTCTCATACCTAACTTATATGCAAATTTTGTAATTAGTTCTACAAAGAATATTCTCAAACTATACTGTTAATGTCAGAGTTACGTTATAGAAGAAAAGAGAACAATGTTTCCAAAGAGGAGTGCTGGCTGTAATTGGCAGAGTCCAAGTGATCCTTTTCTCTTACTGAAATTATTTTAAGCTTCTTTTTTTTCTTTCTTTTAAAAAATAAATGTTTTTTTCTTTATTGATTTTAGAGAGAGAGGGAGAGAGAGAGAAACATCGATGAGAGAGAACATCGATGGGCCGCCTCCTGCATATCCCCTACTGAGGATTGGGCCCACAACCTGGGCATGTGCCCTGACTGGAATCGAACCGGAGACCTCTTGGTGCATGGGATGATGCTCAACCAACTAAGCCACACCAGCCACAGCACAGCAATCTTTTTTAACACAATATGCCACACTTCTGAACTAAGCACTAACATTGAACACAATCTGTTTTTGCAAAGTATTTGGGGCAATTTTGTATCACATAAACCAAACCAAAACAAAACAACCCAAAAAACTAAACTAAGATACAGGAGGCAGTGGGAAAGCTTTAGAAAGAAAACAATTCTTTTTTTTGTTAATCCTCACCCAAGGATATGGTTTTCAATCATTTTTAGTGAGAGTGGAAGGGAGGGAGAGAGAGAAAAACACCGATGTGAGAGAGACACATTGATTGGCTGTCTACCACAAGTGCCTTGACTGGGGTGGGGATTGACCCAGGTATGTCCCTTGACTGGGAATAGAACCTGAGACTCTTTGCTGGCTTGGGCTGATGCTCTAACCACTGAACCACACCAGCCATGGCAAGAAAACAATTCTTTTTTTTTTTTCCTTTCTTTATTGATTTTGAGAGAGAGAGAGAGAGAGAGACAGAAATATCTAGGCCTCCTGCATGCCCCCCCTACTGGGGATCGGGCCCACAACCTGGGCATGTGCCCTGACCAGGAATCAAACTGGTGACCTCCTGGTACATGGGTCAACGCTCAAGCACTGAGCCACACTGGCCCAGCAAGAAAACTATTCTTAAACCTTTTCTTGTCTCACAATAAGAATTTTGAACTCCTAAGGACATTTACTCACCTGTATGTATGTCCTGTGATTTCATTTCTGACCATGACACAATCCACGAGCCACTTGGCCAACAGTCCTGAGTTATCGTGACCAATCTGAACAGTGGTCAGCTTCCCCAAGTTCTGGCACTGTAGGGACAGAACCATAGGTTATTCAGCACCTGATCCCACTGTCTCTCGGCTTTAGCTGTGGTGCTGTGGTTCCACCTCACCCAATGGCGGAGCACCCACTCTGCATAATGTGTGTTCTGCCAAGCTCTAGAGAAACACAGTCACACCTCATGTATCTCATCTAATGAGACAAGACAAGTAGACAATCTAATGAGGGGACTGCACACGGTGCTAGACTCCAGATGTAAAAAAGTGCTAGCAGAAAATTGGGGAAGGAGCAATTATTTCTAACTGAGGAACCCAGAAATATCACATAGACAGCAATTTGTGCCCTCAAGGATGATAAAATTTTTAAGAGGTGGAAAAAGGGTGCTATATAGATTCAGTTCCAGATATGTCAGAAAAACAACTATGGATTTTTTTTAAAACATCGCGGACACTGCTATTTTCTGTTTTAAATAAAATACCAAGGCAGAACTGACCTCAAACCTCATCTACTAGAAGTCTTTGAGCTATTGTTAAAAAAAAAAAAAAAAAAGCATTGTTATCAACATCATTCCCTGGCCCTTTGTGGACAAGTACAAAAGAAAGTGATGATAACAAAAATAATAAAAATAAATGTCAATTAAATTCTGACTTTTAAATTCTGATAATAGATCACAGACCCCAACTGCCTCTGTAAGGTTGGGAAGATCAGAGCTATGAGTCTTTAAGGCTTTTGGCTTTGTGTTGCAGTGAGAAGGGATCCCAGCGACTCAGGTGAGAGAGGGCAGCATCTTAAATCAGCTGTGGCTGCAGAGATGAAGAAAGCAGACACATGTGACAGACTGGAGACAGCAATGATGGGACTTAACAATGAAGCTGATGTTCCACACTTGGTAGTCGAAGAAAAACTACAGGTTTTAATCTTTTATATACAGATGGCTGTGAGTTCACTGGATACACAGGGCCAAAATGGGATTGAGTGGAAAGTGCTATTCCTGGATGGCAAGGAGCAAGAGAACAGGATGTTCAGTAAGTACCACTTCCTTCCTGAAACAAGAGCAGGTAGTGTCTTCTTCCGGCACGCCGGCATCTACATGCCTGTGAGCTCAAACACACGGGAATACTTCACCAGTGAGACCTGAACTACGACACTGAACTAAATCACTTTATAAATGCCACGACGTGGTCTAAAAGCCATTAGCGTGGGTGTCAGCTCTCCTGGCCTTTTGTCCAGCTCAGGAGGGAGCATTCTGCAGTGAGGATGAGAACCACTGTGGGAAAGCATTTAGTGCTAAAGCACGGGAACCATGGAACAGGACCGGAGGAGGCCCGAAGTGCACTATTACAAGCAGAAAAACAGAGCTTAACAATTAAACATATAACAAAAATATGAAACAAATTGGTTGTTTATAACAACTTTAGGTATATGATCACAAAAATGATCCTGCATGCTTGACTATTTCTTTATATGACCTGACTCAAGGAAAATATAAAAGGGAAACTAGAATCTTTGTGTAGAATTACACATGACACTTTCTGGTAAGAAAGGTATTAGCTGAACCTACCTCAAAAGTCATTTCGAGAAGGTTTTTTGGAATCTGCATTATGCCTGTGTCTCCCAGCTCTCCCGACACACAGATCCAGGGGTTTGAGGTGATGATCGCATTGCTCAGCTTTTTGATGGGGATGATCACTGACCTATACGGAATCACTGAAAGGAAAATGCTGTTATTAATTAAAAATTACAATCGAATTCTCCTGATAACAAAACAAATATGTATGAAAAACTTGGTTGGCTTTCACAGATAATTCACTTTTTATGATCTATCAAGATGTATTTAAACAAAAAGATGAGATCATAACCTCTCCAAGTCCAGAAAAATGAGGTTTAGTTTATAAGTCCTGATACCTACGATTTCCCCAGCATATATATCACCATGTGTACATGGCATGAGTATCACTATGGTGACATACATCACCATTACATTTATAAACAATCTCAGGCATTAGCACCAGAACACCCAAGGGTAAGAACACTAATGACACTACATAGTATTTCCATTGCTTTAACGTTTTTATTCATTTTGTTTCAAAATTGAGTACAAAGAAACCTGGCTCCTGGATGGTTTCTTATAAAAAGGGGGTGGATGATTTCTCGGATAGTACCCCCTGTTGCTGACTACCTCGGGCAATGCTCTAAAGCACTGCACTTCTGGACTTTCCCATCCCAATGGTACAGCTCAATATGCAAAGCTGAGAAAAAGAAACAATGGCACCTCCATTCTAGACACAGCATAAGGTCTATAAACCACAACTTGGAAAGCTATTAAGGTGACTCACAGAGGGGCCCCAGGAAAAGAATCAAGATGTGGAAAGAGAGCTTTCCTTCTGACAGTTCTGCAAAGGCCCACCACTAGATGTCACTATCCTACCACTGTCTTTTGCTCCAATGTGGAAACACTATCAAGTTAGGCATTACCACACCCCTCCACTTTCCTCTAAAAATTGGTGATGACTCAAACGGTAGCACATTTTTATCCTTCAGAACTATACATTTATTTTTCCCCAAAAAAGCAGGGTAGAATAAATATTCAGGATTCCTTCCCAGTTATGAGACGGCGCAATAGAAACCCTCCTTAAGAGAACTACAGGTCAGATGAAAAACATTGGACAAGGTGCCCAGATACTGCCTCACAATATGGGTTCACGGTTCAGAGCATTCGTCAATGAGGAAAATGAATAAGGTAAATGGTTCATTTCCTTAATTTTACACAGACCAGTTTCTTTATGTTGAGTAGATAACCTCCCTTTCTGCCTTTATATTTTGGTTGAAGGAAAGGAAATGTCAGAGGAAAGGCTGTATTTTTCATGGTTTAGTAATCACAAGAATCAAATGATTTTCGAAACTGAAAGCAGAAGAGGTTAGTGCAAGACTATTTTAGGGGCCACAGGCTTCTCTAATTTCTCGCAGATAGGAGTAGAGAAGCTCAGAAAAGGCCTGTTAGTCTGTGCCTGCAGACTCACAGCAGTGAGCTCATCAAGTATAAAAGTACTGTTATCTAAACTCATAATATTTCTTTTATGAATTATTTCAATTTCTCAAATTGAGTTTCTTAGATGAAGAGAAATCGGCAGATATAAGGAGGATCTTAGGAGTCCTAACTTTTTCTTCTCTTTCAAAACTGTATATAGCAGTTTCGGTTGTCATACCTGCAATAACCTAATAAACAAAGTGGCTTGACAGACATTATAGGTTGGTCCAAAAACCATTTCAAATCCAGTTTTCCCTGTCTGCTTCTACAAGAGACTAGAAAACCCAAAACCTATGCATTTCTGACCAGTGAAATGTTAGTGACATTTATTGTGACTTCTTGGAAAATCGTGTTTTTCTAGCACAGATTCTGACCCTTTTTCCTTGGCATTCCTTCCTTTTTCCTGCTGGAAGGTGGATTGACTGAGAACAGCCAACCTGTGACCATAAGGTCATTTGTCCATACTGGGGACTGTCCAGGAGGAGGGACAAAGAGCCCGCGTCCACAATAGCTCTGTGGACCATCTACCTCAAGACCTCTCCTTATGTAAGAAAAGTAAAACTACCCATTTGCTTAAACCACTGTTTTACAATTTTCTGAAACTTGTAGTTGAATACAATTCCAAACTGATACAAATAAACAGTCTCTAAGGTAGGGAAGGGGACCCACTGTTAATAAGAATTAGTAATGGTGAAGAAAATAAATGCTTTAGTTCAGCTTATCCAAAATCCATTTCTAGTCAGGTTCCTTCTCTACAAAACTACAATATCCATCCGGATCCTGAAGTCTTTCTGAATCATCAGGGTGTAATGATGTTCTGTTATAGAAGTTTATGATTATCATATACTGATTCTTTGAATTGTGTTTTGGATAAGAGACAGGAATATTTATTTAGTAAAACATTCCTTTTCATGTCCATCCCACTTCCTGTTGCAGACTGAGTTTCCGGGAAAGCAGACTCTGAGTCAGAAATCAGAATGCAGACTGCTGCATGAGAGGGAGAAAACAGGCCTGGTTGAGGGAGAAGCTGAGCTGTGATGCTGTCGTAATGAGGTGCTCAGCTGGTTCCATGGTGAGTCCGAGGACAGCGCCTTGACCAGTCAGAGGCTGGCAGCCTGGCAGGAGGCTCAGCTGGCGTGGGGTAGTCTTGGGGTGAGACACTCTCTCCCTGCAGGGCTGAGCTGGGGCTCTCACAGTGCCTATCTCACTGCACAGGGTATGTCTCACTTTAAAAACATGAACTCTTGCCCTGGCCAGTTTTGCTCAGTGGTTAGAGCATCGGCCCGCGGACCAAAGAGTCCCGGGTTTGGCTGCTGCTGGGGGCACGTGCCTCAATTGCAGTTCGGCCCCAGCCCTAGTTGGGGTCGTGAGGGTGGCAGCCATTAGATGTGTCTCTCTCACATTGATGTTTCTCTCTCTCTCTACCTCCCTCTCTCCTTCCTGCTCTAGCTGAAGATAGATACAAAAGTGTCCTCGGGTGAGGATAAAAAAACAAAAACAAAAAACAAACAAACAAAAAAAACATGAACTCTTATCCGAGTAGTTAACTCTTAACAGTCGAGTCTCCAGACTTACTGATAGTGGTGAAGACGCTGGTGAAGCAGAAGTAATCCACAGCGTTGAGGGAAAGAAGGTGGTAAAGAAACTGTTCTCTTTCTTCTTCGCAACGTAGAAAAGCGTAACGCTTATAAAGCTTTCTAGGAAAGAGCGAGACAAGCACAAAACAATAGTTGAGTATATTTTTCATTGTCTTCTATGAAAAGTAAACACCTCCACTAGACAAACTGGGTAGAAACTCTAATCTGGAAAGAACAGATAATTCACCAAAATGAACACACAGTTAACATTTTTAACCTAGTCTGTAATTAAAGGGAAATAGACCATGAATCCATTTTGCCTATGAAACTAACAGAGACCAGAAGCATGGCCAGTGCTGACAGGGTGGGGAACAACGAACAGTTTGCTATTCTGACAGTGCACTGAACATTTCCACAAGGCAATTTGTCGGTATATTAAACCAGTCAAGCCCTTTGATGATTAATTTTACAAGAGAAGCCATCCTGTGACGAGGTGATCAGCACACAGAGGACTGCCTAGGAGAGGGACAAAGGGCCTGTGTCCGTGATGGCTCTGCGGACCACCTATCTTGAGACTTCTCCTTATGTGAGAAAAATAAAACTGCAGTTTGTGAACTTACGCAATTTGCTGTGTAAGCACACAGGTCATAGAAACAGACATGCCTCAGGAGGCAATCTCTCACCTGGTGAGTGGCTGGTTAGACAGCAACTGCTTGAGGTGCTGGGACAAGAGTTTCTTTTCTAGAGACAGCCTTATCCATGCCCGAGCTCGCCCGACGTCAGTCTTGATTTCACTCATGTTCTGAATATGCCTTAAGAATAGTAGCAATACAAAAGATGTAAATCCTAAGAATAATCTTGAACTGGAAAAGAACTCAGGGTTACAGCACCCTGCACAGGAATGTTCTTTTCTACATAAAGGAAGCAACAGGTTAATTAATACATGGTTTATGTTGATGAAACCTTTGAAGGTTCCACCTAAGTCATGCATTTAGCATGACAACACAAGCTCACAGGCAACATCCTAAGATAAAACACTTAACACCCATTTACTCTTTCAGGTTTTATTATGTTCTTGTTTCAGCCTCACACATACCTGTAAACTGGCACTTTGTTATTCCTGACTCTCAGGAAAATAAAATAAACTGGCAAAGTGTTCAAAACAATTGTCAAACTTAGTATCTGCCACAAATTGAATCCACCAAATTATTTGCAGGTAGCCCTGGACAACACATGGAAAAGATGAAATCTTACTTTCTAAGGCATCAGAAGACAAAATGTACTGTACTGATCAAATCAACATTTAAAAATTTTCAAAGACTTGGAAAATTATGTGGCTACAAAAACAACAACAACAACAACAAAAACGAAAACTGTGTGGTCACAGTCCAGTTGAATGTAACATATATGTGGACATTAGTATTTTGTGTAGAAGTCAATGCTGTCCCCAGAGGAACTGAGTTTATCTTCCTAAGTGGTTTTCCTCCTAAGGGGGAAGCAGGATTGGGCAGGAAGGACAAGCCTGTGGGAGGGGTAATTGTAAAACCACTACAGTGAGTCACGAAGTCTTTGTGATTCTGACCCACCATTCATTCCCTCCTTTGATTCTTTTTTTGTCTAAAATGACTCATACTAGCTGTAATAAATATTGCAATGGAATCTTTTGTCTGATGATTCTAAGCATTCAGAATAAGGAATAGCCTTATTCCGCAAAACACACACATATTTTTTGTTTTTCTCCCTCTCCCTTTCTCCTCCCCTCCCTCCCTCCCTCTCGATCCTTGAATCTGAACATTTAAGCCCTCAATCCTGACTGCTCATTTATAACCCATCACTCTTGATAAACAAGATGTGAAACATGACATCACATGACACAGACACACTAAAGAGGTGGCACACAAACATGTCAGAATGAGATTTATGGTGGGCTTATTTATGTTTAAAGGGCTAATGCCATTACGTATGGTCATGAACAGAGAAAGCTGGTGACGGACGAGCCCCCTTAGACCCCGGTTCTCACTGGTGGAGGTGGCAGTGGCAAGGCACCTGACAACCCAAGTGCGAGCCCATGAAACAGCCTGGCTGTTCCTCAACCCTAATGACACTCCCCAAATGATGACACAGCTGACTTAAAAGCAACAGGGAGATGCGCGGGCATTTACCACTTCAAGTCCAACAGTATTTACAGGGCACCCCGTGAGTTCGGTGCCGGGTCCAAGTCCACCCGGTCCATGAGTACCAAATTGATTCAAAGCGAATTCCCGCAAATACATCTATGTGAGGGTTGATAAGAACTTAATTTCCCCCTACGTATCCTTCCTCCTCTAAAACAGCAAAACTTACAGAAGTTAGTTTTATGCTGGCCTTAAACAGGTATCTGGAGATATGGTAGGTGAAGAATGACAAAGTGAAAGATAATTGTAATTTGTAAAACAATCTATGTTTAAGGAAAATGGGAAGAACTGGAGTACATAAAATGAAACTGATTTTATTCAGGCGCAATCAGCTTTCCCATCATAAACGCACTCTTGCTAAGTTGTTTTGGTGGGAGGCAAGGGATTTGGGAGATGAAGCTGCCAGACTCTCCTGAAGCCCAGCTTGTTCACTGGCCCCAGGGAAGTTCCTCAGCCTAAAATATTGCCTCATTAATGTAATTCCTTTGTTCCAGAATCTTTTAAAGTTCACAGGATACAGGCTGAACTGCTCACTACTCGGCCTCAACATTTCTTCCTATCGAAAAAGTTCCATTGCAGGCAGCTGACTTCTGCATCCCATCACTTGAACGACTTACTCCCCCAGCCTCCCTATTCGATTCTATTCATGTTTGAATTCCAACTTCTTCTGGAAAGCTTTCCTCAATCATAATGGCCTTCAATGACATCTCTAATTTATGGAATTCTGTAGTCTAATTTACACTGATCGTGCACTGCCTGCTACTTTTATCATTTTCTCTTGGTATACACTTTTCTCAGCTTGCCAAGTTCCTGAGGACAAGGAGCCCAATACTTCTTAGTAGCCTTGCATTCTCCTTTCTAGCCTATAAGGCCTAGCACATATTAGGAGCTCAAAAAACTTTGTTGCTTTGTGTATCACTATCTGATTTTATGCTTTAAAACAATTTATATGTGTAGTGTTATTAAAACTTAATCCAAATCTATTAAACATTTTTCTGTGTAGTTATAACTTTTTTATAAAATCCTCACTCCAGGGTATGTTTGTTTTTAAATTGATTTTAGAGAGAAGGGGTGGCGTGGGAGAAACACATGGATCTGTTGCCTCCGACTGGAGATCGAACCCAAAACCTGGGTCAAACAAACCTGCGACCCTTCTGTGCACAGGATGACGCTCCAACCAACTGAGCCACACCAGCCAAGGCGTGTAGTTATACCATTTTAATCTGTTTTTAGTTGGAATAATTTGTTATAGATCATGATAATGGCATTCGGCACAGTATCATACACGTATTACTTCTAAAATAGAACCTGTTAATTCCCAGAAAAGCGTACACAGTGTGGTTTACATAACTTAAATACTTGATTCAGTTTTTAACCCCAATACAAAGTTTCTGATTTAGAAAAGTTTTTATGTACTTTGTCTTATCTGATCATCAGAATAACTAGTGATAGGGAGATCATCATTATTTCACTGTAAAGATGAGAAAACTGAGACTCCTGCAGACTAAGTGACCCACCCAAGGTCACAGAGATAATAAGTATTATTCTAGAGGTGCTACCCATTTCCTACCAATCACTTCTTCCTGGCACTCACATTCTTGGAGAAGCTCCCCTTCCACAGACCCAGGATGCACAGTTCGGGGTTCCACCTTGACCCATGGCCCAGGCTCCTCACCCTCAGCTACAAGGTGCCTGACCTAAGTTGAGCCAATCAGCTTTCCTCTCAGAAACTGAGAATTAGTACACTGGAACACCAAGTTAGTTTTCACTGAACCTTAAAACAGGACAGGATGTGAAAGCCTGGGCTTGGGCGACCATGTGCACCATGAAGAGGGGAGGAGGACCTGTGACCACCGTTTTCCATTCCAGCCACAGCTCTTGTTCCTGGATTTGGGAAGACACCCTCACATGTCTCCAATATAGCCCCCTATTTTGCTGAAGCAAGTCTGAATGAGCTTCTGTTTCCCCAAAATGAATGATTTCTAGGACTGGTAGCACCTAAATACATTTAAATCTACATTTTCTGAGTCCAAACCTGGTGCTTATTTTACTGTATCACCGGTGAAACCCAGTAATATTCATTGGAGAAATAAAAGAATTAGCCAATTTTAGTATAGCTCATATCCTTTACAGTCATAAAAATTCCTCAAAATATTCCTTCCTAGGGGATAACACAATTAATTATGACTACTCAATTTTAGTGTAGAGTAAAACCAGATACTCATTAGTGCACATGTCCATGTTATTTATAAAAAGATAAAATGACTTGCCAATTTACCCTTAAGTAACTTATTCCCATCTTTATATGTAAGCAGAATATTTCTAGGATTTACTCACATCCTGTTCATTTTTTTACATATCCAGAATATCTATATTTGCATTACAGTACTCACAATCTCCTAGATCATATAATATAATGTTCTACTATGCCCCACACCATTAATTACATTTTGCCATTAAAAATAAAAGTCCTGCCCTGGCCGGTTTGGCTCAACAGTTAGAGCGTCAGCCTGCAGTCCAGAGAGACCCAGGTTCGGTTCCCACTAAGGGCACGTACCTCAGTTGCAGTTTGTCCCCAGCCCCAGTTGGGGTCGTGTGGGCAGCAACCACTCGATGTATCCCTTTCACATCGATGTTTCTCTCTCTCTCTTTCTCTCTCTCCCTCCCACTCTGTCTGAATGAAAAATGGAAAAATGTCCAATGGTGAGGATTAAAGAAAAAGAATAAAAGTCCCTGCCCAGCTGGTATGGCTCAGTGGTTGAGCACTGACCGATGCACCAGGAGGTCACCAGTTCAATTTCCAGTCAGGGCACATGCCTGGGTTTCGTGCTTGATCTCCAGTAGAAGGTGTGCAGAAGGTCTCTCTGGTCTGCGGGCCGACGTTCTAACCGCTGAGCCAAACCGGCCAGGGCAAGGAGGATCTTGATGATTCTCTCTCATCAATGTTTCTGTCTCTCTCAAATCAATAAAAACATATTTTTAAAAAAAGAAAGAAAGAGCCTTGGCCAGTTTGGTTCAGCAGTAGAGCATCAGCCTGCAGACCATAGAGTCCCAGGTTTGATTCCAGCCAAGGGCATGTACCTCAGTTGTGGTTCGTCCCCGGCCCTGGTCAGGGTCGTGCAGGAGGCAACCAGTCGATGTGTTCCTCTCACGTGGATGTTTCTCTTTCTCCCTCTTCCACTCTGTCTGAAGATAAACAGAAAAATACCCTCAGGTGAGAATGAAAAAAAAAAAGACTAAAAGTCCCAAGAGCTAGATGATATGTGTATAGCTACTTTGAAAGAAACTGGTAATAAAGGTAACGCCATGGTAATACTCCTCTGCTATAGGTAGAAGGAATAGGTCTTAGTCCGGTTATTTACTGCCCCCAGGCTCACTCTTTGGAACAAAAAAATCATTCTATAACTGACAGTTTGGTGATAGTTGGCAACTATGAAGGTCTTGGGAAGCAGTCTGAGACACTAAGACAAAGGGGACAGCCCTCAGATGTGTCTGTCCTGGATTCACTACAGCTGCTCAGCAATCTGGTTACAAGACTCTCGACAGCTGTGAGCCCAAAGTCCCTAAACTGCCAATGTATTTGCCTCAAGAGAGAAACCCAGAAGATGTGAGGTAACAACAGGGGTTGTGCTCAACAAGAGCATGGACTCGGAGAGATACGTGACCCAATCTTTAGGAAATAAGTTTTTTCTTTAATTATCCAGATTTAAAGAAATTAGAGTTTAGGATATTACCTGGGTGTTTTTCTTTGATGATCTACTACATGAACTATTTAGGAAGCAATCAGGAACTAAAATGAAACACTAGCCCAACATCTGGAAATAGGGAAATAAGCCTGTCCACTGAGAGTTAAGCTCTAAAGTAAACATATCAGGAATAACAACAAAAATAAATACAAAGTCACTTTAAAAAAGCAGAACAGCCCTGGCCGGTTTGGCTCAGCGGTTAGAGCGTCGGCCTGCGGTCCAGAGAGACCCGGGTTTGGTTCCCGCTAGGGGCACGTACCTCGGTTGTGGTTTGTCCCCGGCCCTGGTTGGGTCGTGTGGGTGGCTACCACTCGATGTGTCCCTTTCACATCGATGTTTCTCTCTCTCTCTCCCTCCTACTCTATCTGAACAAAATATCAAAAAATGTCCTGTGTGAGGATAAAAAAAAAAAAATTAAAAAAGCAGAACAAAGCCAGGAGAAGAGACCACCATGGGCAGTGCTTCTGCAGGGCTTTCCTGAGATGACATCAGTCCCACGAACACTGGGATCACTAGTTTGGAGCTGGAGGGTCAGGATTCTGGGCACAAGAAGCCTTTTGATTTTAATCTAGATTCTAGGCAGAGCCTACCTCTATCAATAAAAAAATATCAAGTCACCTGGTTAAGAAAACAATAAATGGGCTTCACCAGCTTCCTGTGACCCCACCCTTCCCTGGTCACAGACAACTTGACAGGAGTGGACAGGTCCAGCCCATTTTTCCCATTTCTCTTAGGTATCTATAGTAAGTCTCTTGGGTTAGTAAGAGTCAGTATCTTAGAGTCCAATTATATTTTGGTTTGCTAATGATTTGGTTTCTGACGTAGAAAGCTGAAGACTCTAGCTTCACAGGTCTACAAAGGTCTGTGGCTATGCATGCCATAAGACTGGGAAGTCATACCCATTAGGATGGCTATCATAAAACCAACAAACAAAATAGAAAATAGCAAGTGCTGCTGAAGATGTGGAGAAATTTAACACTTGTGCATTGCTTGTGTGAATGTAAAATAATACAGCCACTGTGGAAAAAAAACATGAGGGTTCCTCAAAAAATTAAACATAGAATCAGTGTGTGATCAAGCAATGCTACTTCTGCGTATATACAGAAAAAAACTGACAGCAGGGATTCAAATACTCACATTCATAGCAGCATTATTCACAATAGCCAAAAGGTGTAAACAATTCAAATATCCACTGATGAATAAATGAATAACAAAACATGGTATGTATACACAATGGAATGTTATTCAGCCTTAAAAAGGAAGGAAATTCTGACACATACTATAACATGGATGAACCTCAATAACATTATGCTAAATGAAATAAACCAGATGCAAAAGTCATGATTCCACTTATATGAGGTACCTAGAATAGTTAAATTTATAGAGACAGAAGATAGAGTAGTGGTTACCAGCAGCTGGGTGGGGAGGGAGAATGGGAGCTATTGTTTAAATGAGGACAGAGTTTCAGGCTGGGATGACAAAAAAATTCTGGAGATGGATAGTAGCGATGGTTGTACAACAATGCAAATGTAGTCAATGCCAATGACTGTACATGTAAAAATCATATATATATATATGTGTCTGTGTGTAAATATATTAAAAAATTTTTTTCCTTTATTTATTTTAGAGAGAGGAAGGGAGAGGGAGAGAGAGATAGAAACATCGATGAAAGAGAACATCAATTGGTCACCTCCTGCATGCCCCCCAACTGGGGATTGGGCCCAAACCTGGGCATGTGCCCTAACCTGCGACCTCTTGGTGCGTGGGTTGATGCTCAACCACTGAGCCACACCAGCTGGGAAATTTCTTGAAAATTTTTATAGTAATAGACTAATTCATTTAATCCTCATTATAATACTATAAGATATGAAAGGGATGGGAAAGAATAACAGAATTAATCATAGAGGGGTACTAGCCATAGTTATAAGAAATGTTAATCATCCTTTACAATGTTAATCATCATTGCTTTGTTCTGATGAAAGAAAAGCCCATTCTGACCTGGCTGGGAGGTGTGTGCCTTGGGAGTTTACCTCAGGAATGCTGTCCATTCTCCTAATCTGAGAACAAGGGGACTACCTGATGAACAATGGACCAGTGACAGCGCTCACTGGCAACCAGCCCCTGCAGCTCCTTCCTAGCCCATGTTCCCCTCCCTTGCCTGAAACCTTTTACAATCCCCCCAGCTCACATTCTTCCCTCCTTGCCTGTAGCCATTTTATCTATTTTTTTTTCTTTTTTGCCTAACTGCCTTTTCTCATGTAGTCGTAGTCGTTGTTTCTCTACCCTTTAAAAGAGGCTGAGGGGGGGAGGAGTAGATTTTACGGGATAACCCACTGCTCCCCCATACCACTGGCAATATTGGAATAAATACCCATATACAATTCAACCTGTCTCTGCTCAACTGGCTCAAATAGTGACAGGCAGCCTGGGTCCATTGTTGTCTGGTTTCATATAGATAACTATTATCACTTCTTGAGAGTTGGGAAATTGAGGCACAGGTAAATTAGAGAAATTGCCTGAGGTCACACAGTTAGTAAGTGGCAAAGCAAGGATGTGTTAAACACGGTATTATGCTGCCACTTAGAAGTTATACAATTGCAAGTATCTGACAAATCAAATGAACATCCTATTAATATTAATAAAGCAATAAACTACCTGGCCAGTGTGGCTCAGTGGTTGAGCGCTGACCCATGGACCAAGACGTCCTTGGTTTGATTTCAGTCAGGGCACATGCCCAGGTTGTGGACCCGATCCCTAGTGGGAGGGCATGCAGGAGGTGGCCAATCGATGTTCTCTCTCATCGATGTTTCTATCTCTCTCTCCCTCTCCCTTCCTCTCTCTCTAAAGTCAATAAAGGAAAAAAATAATTAAAAAATAATAAAATAAAGCAATAAACCATACAAGTTACAAAGTGTTATAAATGTTGTAACATTCACTTTAAACCCACATATTTTAAGAGTTGACTAAGTACTGTACCTAAAATGTTTAAAAGAAAAAAGCCTCTGCCTTTCTCATTAAATACATCTTTTTAGATATCCTGATGCCTTCTAAAGATTTCTAAGACCAGTAACTACAAGTGATAATTCTCAGATTTACATGTGCTTCAAATTAAATCTACCTGACCACAGTTTTTCTGTCCAGTAACCTGTCATTATTTGCAGTTTTGTTTTTTTTAAAACTGTATCTGTGAGTAGCAGATATTTAAGAAGGTTTAAAAACTGAACAAATGATATTGTAAAACAATTTAAGGATGCTTTAAAACTCTTCTCAGCTGCACTTTCCCTTTGGATTTAATGTCAGAAAAAATATAACAGCATGAAAGTAAAATAAACAAAGTTATAAAAATGTTTTGTTTTTTTTTTTAGAATACATAAGCAAAAAATACACACAGCTAAAATAATTAGAGCAATTTAAGTGAAAGTCATAGTATTTCAAAGTTATCACCATGTGCTAGCGCATATAACAAATACCTCATGTCCTGGATAAGGGAGACCCTGAGTGTTGGCAACATAACTCCTGAGTCCGATTTTCTTCTTTCTGGTCCCAGGGCAACTATGAAGAAAAATATCAGCAAAGTATTAAAAAAATAACAGTAAATAAAAAAATCTATATGGTTCACATTATATAAATACCTTAAAATTACTTTGAAAGAACAAATTTTGAAGACAAAAGATAAGCTCAAATTCTTTTCCCTGAATGTTGCCACTTTATTAATACAGTAAGCCAGCTATTTTCCTTCTAGTTAATCTGGGGCTGCGTTTGTAAATTTAAAATGAATCATAAAAGCCCACTTAGCAAATAACGCAATGTGTGCAAATTCTGGCCATAAGGGCCAGTGCCTTTCTAATGTTATTCATTCTAATTGGACTGGATAATTACATGAAACAATGCCTATAAATTAAGCTACTAAGAAGTGAATCATCTCTGGGCTCATGAACTGCAGTCACACAGTTTCTCTATATAGCAGGACTTCAAATTGCATTGTTTCTTTATAATATTGATGAGATGCCATAGGAACCTAACTCTTGTTTATATCGATTAGCCTGTGGTAAAATGGGTTTCATTATATGTTGTTTTGCTTCAAGATGCAGAAACTAGCATGGCCGGTGTGGCGCAATGGTTGAGCATTGACCGGTGCACCAAGAGGTCACCAGTTCGATTCCAGGTCAGGGCACATGCCCAGGTTGTGGGCCCAATCCCCAGTGGGGGGCATGCAGGAGGTGGCCAATCGATGTTCTCTCTCATTGTTGTTTCTATCACTCTCTCTCTCTCTCCTTTCTTCTCTCTCTAAAAATCAATAAAGAAAAAATAAAAGGTATCAATGACATTAAGCAAGGACTTTACTGTACTCTGAAAGAGTGCTTAAAAGGAAAATCTAAGAGTTTGGGCTCTGTAGGCTGGTAAGTTTCTACTTCAAAGTTCAGAATCCAAACTACAATATGAATATATCACGCAAAATTTTATTAACATTTAGAAGTATAATGTCCATGAGACTCTTATGAAACCTGAAAAGCTTACATTTATAAAAGAAGGAAAATTATTCTATTATATAGCAATAGCTAAAGCAATCAATTATTTGCTAATGAGCTGTAGCTGGAGTGCTCAGACTGTAAGTGAGATGTTGTGGAGTTCTACACTCTTCCTTTATTTCTATTTCCCATCTGCATGTGAAAACAAAATTGCAACACCACACTCAGCAAATACAGTAAACAAACAGGGGTTTGAACTGCATGGGTCCACTTACACATGGATTATTTTCCCAATAAATATACTGGAAAAAATTTTGGAGCTGTCCTTACTACTGTGAAACAATTGTGTTGATTATACTAGGCTACCACAAAGCAATCATATTGTTGCTTCTTCATTATCAATGCATGAATCGTTCACACCTGTAAATAAATATAAATTTGCTTTTCACATTTACCTGTAAATATATATAAATTTACTTTTCACATTATCTTTTCATTTTTGACATCGTGTTAGTAATATGTTTAAAATCTACAGTGTTTTGTATCATAGGATAATATTGATGTAGGTAATGACAGATGATTCATCCTGCAAACAAATGACACACACTAAACTTGAGAGAAATACAGTATAGTAGTGTAAATGAATTTTCTTTCCCTTATGATTTTCTTCATAACATTTTTTTCTCTAGCTTACTTTATTGTAAGAATATAATACACGGGCCCTGGCCGGTTTGGCTCAGCGGTTAGAGTGTCGGCCTGCGGTCCAGAGAGACCCAGGTTCGGTTCCCACTAAGGGCATGTACTTCAGTTGCAGTTTGTCCCCAGCCCTGGTTGGTGGTGCGGGTGGCAGCCACTTGATGTGTCCCTTTCACGTCAATGTTTCTCTCTCACTCTCTCTCTCTTCCTCTCTCTCCCTCCCACTCTATCTGAACAAAAAATGGAAAGGTGTCCTCGGGTAAGAATAATAAAAAAAAAAGAATATAATACATGTAACATACAACATATATATTAACTGGCTGTTTTTGTTACTGGTAAGGTTCCCTTCCGGTCAACATAGGCTATTTATCAGTAATTAAGTTTTAGGGGAGTCAAGTTACACGTAAATTTTCGACTACATGGGGGTTGAAGGGACAACTGTACATCGATAAGATCAGAATTTAGGATGTGGGTTTTAGTGTATATTAAATCTGTATTTTCTCTCTCTCTTTTGTTTTTTATCCTTACCCCAGGACATTTTTCCATTTTTTTTATTCAGAAAGAGCAGGAGGGAGAGAGGGGAAGAGAAAGAGAGAAACATCGATGTGAAAGGGACACACTGAGTGGCTGCCACCCGCACGACCCAACCAGGGCCGGGGACAAACTGCAACCGAAGTACATGCCCTTAGTGAGAACCGAACCCAGGTCTCTCTGGACCACAGGCCGACACTCTAACTGCTGAGCCAAACCGGCCAGGGCTATTTTCTCAGTTTTTACATCCATCCTTCGTTAGGGGGATAGGACATAATATCAGAACACAAATCCATTTGAAGTTGGCACTGAAGAAAGACGGAACATTTTGTTGTTCTAGGATCTACATGTTTGGCACTTGGCAGGCATGGGGGAGTTCTGATGGGGCTGCACAGCAAGGAAAATGTGGCCAGACCGACCCAAGGCAGCTCTTCCCAGGGCCCACTATACCAGGCAGGTGATAAATAGGCTGTTTGCTAAGGCACTTCTGGGAGGGAGTTTTCAATGGGTCACTGAAAACACTGGTTTTTTCTCGACACCCAGGAGGTAAAAGACACAGGAAATTGTTCCAAAGACTGTACTGTGTTAGTCTTCCTGTCTGAGACCATCCATACTTGAGTGTGTTATTAATGAAAGCACATCTCTTTTTTTGGAAAGAAAGTAAAGTACATTCCACATGATTAGACAGCATGAAATAGGGCCTCATGAGTGGTGAGAAATAGGTTGAGAAGAGGAAAAAAAAATCATGAGGCAGGAGAAAGGAGCTGAAACCATAATCAGCAAGGTGGCTGGAGAGAGACATGACAACAAGAAGGAATCGTGTGCCTCTGGGAGCAGAGGACAAGCAACAGACTTCGTAAGAGAGGAGTCTGACATTTCCAACAGCATCCACAGGTCTAATAAGCATGTTCTGGGAATCCTATTTTGGGACCCTATATTCTAGCCACCCTTCGCTGATTAATGTTCCTTAACCACACGATGTACTCATTCCCATCCCATGTAATCGATTAGTCTTTAGTCTATCCTTTAGCATTCTGTATCTTTCTGCTTGTTTATAGGCTATTTGTCATTTTAAATTGAGAAAAGCACAGCTTAATGGTTGAGAACCAGACTTTTTCGCCCTGGCCAGTTGCTCAGTGGTTAGAGCACCGGCCTGTGCACTGAAGGGTCACAGGTTTGATTCCTGGTCAAAGGCATATCCCTGGGCTGCAGGTTCAATCCCCCACCCCAGTTGGGGCACTGTAGGAGGCAATCAATCAATGTCTCTTTCTCTCTCTCCCCACCCCTCCTCCTCCCACCCTTTCACTCTCTCTAAAAATCAATGGAAAAAATATCCTCAAGTTAGGATGAACAAAAAACAAACAAATAAGAACAAGTCTTTTTGAAACCCTGTTAAGAGAACTTAACAGCTCACTGGTTTGGGGTGGGTGATTTAAACTCTCATCCGCAAACTGGGAAGAGTAACAGCATCGACCTTACTCAAATAGATGTAAAGCACTTAGAATAGTGCCTGGCACATAATAAGCCCTCAATAAATAAACTTTAGCTTTAATTCTGCCTCTGTGAATCTTTCCTGAATATTCTCTCTGCCCTAGGTACACTATTAGGTATCATTCCCTCTCTCTAACAGGACCTGTAAAATCAAACATCTACCATAAACTTACCACAATTGAACATTTCTGTTATTCCTATGAAACTATATGCCTCTTGAGGCTAGGTCATATCCTATTCTTAGCATACCCCAAGGGCCTAGCAGAGCCCCACACAACATACATGCTCAACAAATACTCACTGAGGAAGATGAGACCATTTAGGGCCAGATGGAAGAACTTTAAAAGACAGGTTAGAAATTTACAGAAATCCTAGGGACAGGGGGAGGGATTTTGAAAAGAAATGATATGGTCCTGAGTACTTTTTAGTTATTAACTAGAGTGACAGTGAGAGAGAGAGATGAGCTAGGAGTTATTCCAAAGACCAGTGTGTGGATGAACTAAGACAGTGGTAACAAGTAAGAACAAAGAGGGGACAGGTGGAGGTGCAGGAAACACCAGACTAATAATGACTTGAGTAAAAAACAGGATTAAGAATGGATATAAAAACATATATTATCCTATCTAATTATAACTTTCTTTTGAATTTTTTTTTTGGTACCTGCCCCTAGCAGGAACCGAACCCAGGACTCTCTGGTCTGCAGGCTGACACTCCAAATGCTGAGCTAAACCGGCCAGGGTTTTCCTTTGAAACTTTTAATCTTAATTTGGCAAATGAAGAAACTGAAGCTCAAAGAGGTTAAGAAACCTGCCCAATTGTACACATTCATTAAAAAGCGCAGAGTGCTTTGATTACACGTCCAGAGGGCTCCTGTTACACTGCAGATACTTTCCAGCTTCTAAGCTTGACTGTGAGAAGGGTGCTGATGCCATTAAATAAGGTAGAGAGAAAAGGCTTAACAGGGACAGAAGAAAGAAGTGCTGAGATAGTGAGTTTGGGTTAGGACATGCTGGGTCTGAGGTCCCAATGGTCCATCACAAATGGATTTCTAGGTGGTACAGACTGACATGTCAGAGGGGAAGTGGGTGGGGGGGATGCGATGAAAGAAGGTGAAGGGATGAGCTAAAGAACATATATACATAACCCATGGACACAAACAACAGTTGGTGAGGGTCGGAGGAAGGAAGGGTGGGGCCTGGGTAGAGAGGGGCAAAGGGAGGAAATCTGTAATAATGTCAACAATAATAAAAAAAAAAAGGGATGTCTAGGAACTAGGGCTGGAGACAGAGATATGTGAATAATCTGCTAATGGGATAGCTGGATGATGACAATGCAGTGGGCAATAGTTGTTATGGTTTAAATTAT